CACAATAGTTAAACCATGTTTACAATTACTTGTGCAACTTAATACCATTAAAAAGAACAATTAATGTTAATCTTTATTTTATGTGACCGTACATGTGAAAACAATGGCAACGAGGATTGGTTTAGTTGGTAAGGGCGTATTAATTTGTGGTAAACCTCCAATCCAAATTCAATCCCCGCAGCTAGTAGTTTTCATTGATTCACGATCTGTAAATTCATATTGGTAACAGTTGGCAGTTATATGCCACATGTAAGTCTTTCTGCTTGAAGTTGTAGGTATGCCCTCACGTTGGAAGTAAGAGTAGCCAATTTCCTCCGAAACTTTTTGGCAAACAAACATGTGAAAACAATGGCTACTACATACATGAAAGGGAACATGCATAATAGTTGCGGAAGCACTTCCCTTAGCTTTATACTTCTAGTCAAAAAGGTACTTCTTAAACAAGGCCGGATATAAGACGTGTTCAAGTAAAAAGAGATTTACAGGTCCTCATCGACGTCATCGCTCGTTTTTATAATTTCCTCGTGCTCTAATTGTCCTTTTGTCAAAAAAATAAAACAAACATTGATTGGGAGAAAAATAAATTTTGGATCCGCAGATGATGTCATGCACCGATCATCACTACCAACGAAGCGTACACACCACAAATCAGAAAAATACTAGGGTAATGTTTACACCAAGCTTTATTTAATCTATAAGTAAATTAATATTTATGCTTTCATACCACACGAAAAGGATTTGAACGAATTAAAAAATAATTTGATTTGTTGTTTTAGAAAATTGAAAAGATAAAAAGAGTAAGAAGTAAAATACAAAAATAGAGAGAAGATCCGATTAGATATTTTTATTTTATTTTTCAAAAATTATCGTTTATTTTATGAAGTGGGATAATATTGACAGAGAGAGGTCGGATAAGGGTTTGTGAGCAAGCAATTGCTCAAGACACAATTATGACAAAAAAACAACTTATATGATATAAATACACGAAAGTGCACGGTTAATAAAACAAAAGTAATTTTAAATTAAATTTATATATATTTTTTATTTTATTGGCACGGAAAAGTAATAAAATAATGTACTCGTGCTGGGTAAATTTATCCACACTTATGAGGCGGTCCCCAGTCTTTCAGGCTTCAAAGTTACGTACGTGCTGGTGGCACCACCACCACTCTCCTCTTCTTCCCTTCCTCCCTTTTGTCTCACTCTTGGTGGCCCCCACTCATAAATCTTCTCCACCACCTCATCATTTGAGGTCACATTTGCTTAACTTCAGACACAAACACTTGGTGAACTTGTTGTCGTCAGCCAAATCATGTTGTCCATATGTCAACAGATATCGACATATGTTGAAGCAATCCAATGAGCGATATCGGAGAATTTGTTGAGTGTTACTGACGCAACTTGTCGAGACTAGTGTGCATTACATTAGACACTTAGTAGGCATAAAAGAGACTCGTACGAAACATTCAGAGAGTCATCGAAAGACCTTCACATGTATATATTTCCTAAGCTCTGGATGATCCTAAGACAACCTTGGTTCTGAGATCATCTTAATCCCATTGTACATTCCCCCATGTTTGGTATATATCACCAACTAGCCTTTGGCAAGTGTTTTTGTCACATGATCTTATCAGAAAATAAGATAGAGGCAAATGAACAAAATTGCTAATTAGTCACCCGTGAAGTTCGGGTAGTCTATTGCAAATTTTTTACAGCATATGCTAATTTACAAAGGTGGTGTTGTGATGTAGGCATACAAAAACTGCTTGATGATGCAAACAGTTTAGAAACGTCCCTAGTCATTTAGAGTGTCTTTCCTGATCAATGAGGATTTATTGTTACTTATCTTTTCATAGAACCAATCGTAATATCACAAGTTTCGCAGACGTGAGTCGAGAACTTGTGGCTATGGAAGTTTCATCAATCATACAATGCAAAATTCTCATGCTGAAATTAGAGAGATGATTGCAGGCCTGGCAGTAGGCGGTGCTCAACGTGTTGTTCGTGCTCGCAAACTAGTTGCAGCACACGAGCAAGTAAGAGTTTTCCCTAATGGTAATTCAGATTCTGAAGATGACGTTATCCCTGCCATCCCTGAAAGCCCACGAGAAGAAACCAAAAAAAAAAAATTGAAATTTCCACTTTCAATGGAAATTTATCGATTGAAAAGTTTTTAGATTGGCTTGCGGAGTGTGAGAAGTTCTTCGAATATGCAGAGATGGCTTACAACAAATGAGTATTTGCTTAAGAAAACCAAGGTCCGATTGGGATGAGTTAGGTAAATGTAGATTAATGTTAACATTTGGTCCCTTCGTAATAAATTTATTACAAAGCAGTCCTCTTCTTTGTCCCTCGGTAAATGGAGATTGTATATGCTATTCACACACTCTTTTTTACTTTTCACTTTTTGTCTATTTATCTTTTTTGATACATTTAATACAACGGTTCAAAATTAAAAAAAAAATGTTTAAAAGATAAAAATATATATGTAAATAACAAAACTTACAAGGTTTTATATACTTTCAAATTGGTACATCACAATTCACCACCAACTTACAAATAGCTACTTCAGAAAGTACACGTGGCGCCATGTTTTGACGCAAATAAGGACATCAGGTGACACCGTGATAGTACTGGGGTCGGTCACATGCTGACTCGTATGGACTCGCAAACACTCGAAGTTTTCTTAACTCCTAATAGCCTCGAAATACAAAAACATAATTACTACTAATTTAATTAATTAAAACAATTAATTGACCGGGTAGAGCAGTCAAAGGGAGCGACGTGATTAGCCGGGGGCGGTGACAGTCCCTGACGGCTGAGGACGGAACCACCCATCAGTCCTTCGGGGGAAGCTTAAGGTTTGGTCACGTCGAAATGAATGAAAAAGGCAATCGAAACGACTGTGCATTGCGCCTCACTCTGACCGTACGGAGTAGGACTGATGGCTGACCGGCAATAGCAGGTCATCCCCTTCCATCCCACCCATTTGTCTCTCTCGAAACTCGTGCGCGCTGCTGACGCATGGAAAGGAAGGGGTATTAATGGGCGAATCGATAAACGATGTGCTGGGGGAGTGTGGGTTTACCATTTCGCCCTCGGTGTCCAGCTGAGAGAGACAACTGTCAATTTACGAAGTTGCTGCAGCAGGAAAGTAATTTCGTTCCGATTCTTTTTCTTAATTCATTAAATTTAAAGATTCAGATCATTAAAATTTGATTCAATAATTATAAAAAAAAACTCACTTTAAAACTTATAATAATTTTAATCATTTGATTAACTTTCAATAGTTCGAATCTTAAAACTTAATAAATTAGAATAAAGGAATCCGAAAATGATCATTTCCGTTACAGCAGGGTGTGGAGTAAGAGTGGAGGCAAAGAAGAGTGGTAATTTGGTAAATTACCTTGGCTACGGTTAAGGCGCATGGTATCCGGACGTGCTGGTGCTGTAAAATGGATAACTATGCTCCGAACGCGATTCAACCGAAAAAAAAAGGCTCCGAACGCGAGCAGCTCCGGTGTGTAATTACTTATATGCCCACTGGCATGTATTTTCAAAATTTTAAGCTTGTGACCCATTAATGTACAACTAATGCAGTCCGAATATGATATGTAATATGTAAAATAAATATTTGGTTATTAGTCCCTCCACATGAGCGCGAATAGAGTTTTCACCATGCTATTGTAAATGAACCGAGTTAAACGATACATATCAGTTTGGTGGGTTGGATGAGATTGAGTTGTATTTCACTTTATTATGGATTCATAACTCATTATGTACAGTCCTACTTCTATCCATCTCATATTTTGATACAACAAATAAAAAATTGAACTCAAGTCATTAATTGGTCACAACCTATCACAACCCGCAAACCAAACATACTCTACGAGTCTAATTAAACTTGCCTTCACTATTCTTTTAGGAAACATAATATAATTGACAAAGAAAACAAAATGAAATCAAGTGATATTTCCCTTCAAAAAGAAAACAAGTGATATTGTCCAAGAAAACAAAAAACCTAAGATGATCGTGGTGGATGTGGGTATTTGAAATTCAAAGTTTGCATACCTTATCCAGCTATTTTCCTAATTTAAACCATTAATTTTCTTAATTCCAAAAGAAGAAAAACCAAACTAATTTACTAATTAATTGTAATTATAGGTTGCAAGTTAGTTTGGCAACCAGTCCGTGCAATTATTCATTTGGGCTTAGTCAACATGGTAATTATTCAAGACTTTTTAGAAGGAATGATTATAAAATTTTGTTTTGTCATTTATGGATTTAAGAGTAGATTACTTTCCAATAATAAGAACTAATCAATTTTTTCTTCTACAAGAGAAATTTTAATCAAACTTTAAGTTACGTGTGCGTGCGTGTGAAAACGAGGCAATTTGAAATTGCGTGCACAATAAAACACACTGCTTTAGTCAAATAATTACGCGCACAAACAGGATTGTAAAATTTGAAATAAACAGTAAAAAGAATACTTTACTTTAATTAACTGAGGTACATCCCAGCGATTAAACTATCTTTTTCTATTTTTATGGTAGAAAATAATGACAAAAAGAGGGGGAGGGGTATTCAGGAAATTAGAAGGCATGCATTAAACTATCTTTTTCTATTTTTATGGTAGAAAATAATGACAAAAAGAGGGGGAGGGGTATTCAGGAAATTAGAAGGCATGCATTGAAAACCAAGGCAAGCAAAGCGTCCAAACAGGGGTAGTATCGACAATCGACGCAGACAGTACAGGGACAAAGAGGAAACTCAGGGGAGGCACTTAATGGTCGCTCAGAATGACATGTCCTTCATTATAAACGTCAGTAATGGTATATCACATAAAAAACCAAAAAAAATCCAAACCCAATCCAACGGTCCCCGCACCTCCCTCCTCACATCAACGGCCACAACCACATAACGCATATAAGAAAATATTTGACGTCGACGCCGTGGTAACTGGTAACCCTTCTCTCTCTCCTCCCTCTCTCTCTCTCTCTCTCTCTCTCTCTCTCTCTCATCAATTTTTTTTATATAGTTTTAATTTTTCATTCTTTCCTCATATCTTCGAAATAATAAAATTTGTGTTTTCCATTCTCTCTGCTGCTTCTGTTTGGGATCCTGCGAAGATCGGATCGAGCGCTCTCTCTCGCTCTCACAGGTCTCTTTCTTCTTCTTCTTCTTCTTCTTCTTCTTCTTCTTCCAACCTTCCGCTCTCCATTTTTCTATCGACGAAACGGCGTCGCTTTTCCTGATGTCAGTGTTTGTTTCTGGTTTTTTGTCATACCGCAGGTGTTTGATGGACTTTGACGGCTTGGGGGGAGAGGGAGGGCGGAGCCGTCGACTGTGATCGGAGCAATCTCTGCTGATTAGGTTAAAAATCGAAGGTAAAAGATAAAGGTTAGATTCGTGGATTTTGAGTTTTTTGTCGTCGTTTTTTCCGATTCGGTTTTTGCAGATTGGTTGTCGTTTACGCGGATCTGAGTTTTTCTTGCATTTTCTTGGCCATGGATCTAGAGAGAGAGAGATGAAGAGAGAGAGTGTGCGTGTGTCAGGCATAAACGCAAACACTTAACAAACAAATACTCAGTGGAGTATTTTCTCAGAGAGAGAGAGCTTCTTCTCGACGACGCCGTTTGGCTGTTTTCCTTTACATTTCTGGTAAAATTGACAGCGAATTAGCTCTCGTTTCATTGTTTTCCGTTCCACTGTCGCTCTCTCTCCCTCCCCTTTTTTCTCACTCTCTCTCTGAGTGCAGTGTGTAAAGGAAGCCATTGTTGTTGAAGCTTTTTTCTTTGACAGTATCTGCAATTTTTGCACTTTCGACACTCGATGATCATCTGATTCTCGAAAACGATTCGCTTCGGTTTTGTTTTCTTCTTCCGAAAAAATAAAAGGAAAAATAATTTCTTAACAATATTATGGCTTTGCTTTGGTTAGAAGAAACTGTTCGATTATATGGTATCATGTCGGGTTTCCAAATTCTGTGAAGCTTCCATGAAAAATCCCCTTTTCATTTCCCTCTCTGATTTTCTCACATTTCGATGCTTATTTTAGAGAAGATGAATCTCTCTCTCCTCCCTCTCCCTCTCTCTAAAGTTTTTGTCCTTGGTGCAAAGTCCATTTGTCTTCCCTTTGTTGTGTCAAATTATCAAATATTGACTTGTGGGATGGATTTGTAATAATTTAATCGTTTTGGGTTTCTGGGTTTTTTTTTTCGTTGCAGTTTGGTTAAATTTGGTTAAAATAATGTCGTCGTCCTCAATGTCGTCGTCTTCAAACTCTCCGTGCGCAGCGTGCAAATTTCTACGGCGGAAGTGCACGCCGGAGTGCGTCTTCGCGCCTTACTTCCCACCTGACAACCCCCAAAGGTTTGCCAACGTCCACAAGGTCTTCGGCGCCAGCAATGTCGCCAAGATCCTCAACGAGCTCAGCGCTTCTCAGCGCGATGACGCCGTCAACTCCCTGGCCTACGAGGCGGAGGCCCGCCTCCGGGACCCTGTCTATGGCTGCGTCGGACTCATCTCCCTCCTCCAGCAGCGGCTGAAGCAAGTCCAGGCGGACCTTTTCAATGCCAAAAAGGAGCTCGCAACTTACATAGGCCCACAAGCTATGCTCTCCATTCTCCAGCCGCCGACTTACATGGCTCAGCAGCTCCAAGGAAACGCTTCTTCCTCGGCCGGTCCGCCGTACAGCATGTCTCCGATGATGGGCATTCCGACTGCGGCTGCTTCCGGTCAGCTGATGGTTCGAGATCCCCAGCAGCAGCAACAGCATCAACAGATTTTCGAGGCGCAGCAGTTGGCGGCGGCCGTGGCGGCGAGGGAGCAGCAGGAGATGTTCAGGAGTTTTGATCAGAGTAAACAGGCAATGCAGCAGCAGGCGCAGGACCATTTGAGCGGGTTCACTCAGATGGCGGGAGCGGTGGGCAACGCTGTTTTGCCGTCTTTGGCTCTTGGGTTTGATAGCGGTCCGTACCACCAGATTCAGCCGCAGCACCCTCACCATAATCACCGCCACCAGCTGCAGCTTCAGGCTCAGCTGTTGCTCCAAACCCAACAGCCGCAAGGGCATCATCAGGCTCAGCAATCCCAGCAACCCCAGCTGCAGGCAAAACCCGTTCCGGGCGAGGAAGGTGGTGGTAGGAGTGTGGGTCCCTCTTGTTGATGGGTTTTTCCTCAGCTCTTCCCTGCCTTCCCCTCTTTTTCATTCAACTAATTTTCATTCTAGGTATGCATGTCCTCCTTCCTTTGTTTGTTCTTTTTGTTTTTTTGAAATGAAAATCCGTACATTTCATATTCATTAATTCTTGCTCTAATTGTTTGTTGGTTTATGGTCTTGCACATGAAGATGTCACGGTATCTCACATTAACGTCGCACTACTTTATGTGAAAAAAAAAAATTAGAAATATAACAAATGCGTGATTGATTTAAAATATCATCATATTGACATATAATAGGGTAGGTAAGTATCCTTCATGAGGTTTTGTTGGGGTTTTGTACTTACGCATTTATTATCTTGCATGTGATGGTTTTTCGAGTCAATAACACATTGTTACGTGAAAATTTTAAACATACATCATTTTTTAATTTCCCTTGTTTAAAACACCGCCACTTTAGCATTTCCCCGAGTATAGATAGGTTTCCTTCCTTGTACATTAGGTTTTGGCAAAGTATGAGTGTTATGATGGGGTTTAACTTTTATACTGTGTGATTGGTTTAAAAAAGCGCCTCAGATGAGTTTCCTTTTCCTTGGAGACATTAGGGTTTTGCATTTATGAATGTTGTGCTGGTTTGGGTTTGTGTGGACATAGGGTTAGGGTTTGTATTTTCACGGAAAGGGCAACATTGTGGAAGGGAAAAATTACTCTTTATTGCAAAGAGAGAGAGTAGAATCAGAGAAAGGGTTTTGGTTAGGTTTGAGGGAATTATTGTCTTTTCACAGCCAGGGATGTCTCTCTCTTGATAATCATCAATAACATCTGAGATTTCACTTTCCCCACCTTTCGTGACATCCCTTTCCTTCCTCATGAATCAATATATATATATATATATATTTTTTTTTTGTTGGGGTAATATTTTATGTCAGAAAAAAAAATATATATATATATAGTGGCAGTTGATGGCGAAGCTTGTTTGGGCTAATCTGGTGCACGCATTGATTGCATGGTGTTGTTTTGATGGTCCAAAATCTGAAAGAGAAATTGAAAACAAATTTAAACATGTATGTATGTATCTGTGCCTTCTTCTTCTGCGTCGTCGTTTGACTCTTTAGAAAACTGACTGACTGGTTTTTTCAAGGCATTTTTCGCTGACAGACTCAGCACTATTTACGATCTTCACTATCTGCTTCGATTGTTCTTCCCTCTTTATCGAATATGACAAAAATGCCCCTCTCTCTCTCTCTATTGCTCTCTCTCAAAAATGATATGTTACGTAGAATTCATGCTCGTTTTTTCATGAAAAGAGTGCGTGCTTGTATGGCTTTTAAGGTGATATCCTAATTTATATTTTGCTTCTTGTTGTTTTCATGCAGTTCATATCGTCTGCATACAACTGGAGATCTAGAGAGAGAGAGAGAGAGAGAGAGAGAGAGAGAGAGATATCATTTTTGAGTTTTGAGGAAGGAGAGAGACTACTTTTCATTGCAGAGTAGAGACATTTCGAAAAGTAGTAGGGATCTGCAGTGATATGTTGGGGAGTACAGTTTTTATCCTTTTAATTAGTAGTGATCGAGGACAATACTCATCCCCTTTCTTTTTTCTTTTCAAACATGTAAATTTGAACCCCTGGAATTATCTATTGCCCTTTTCTCGTTTCTCGTTTCTCGTTTCTCGCTGTTAGTTCATATTTAATTTTACTGTAAGCGGTGGACCCTCTTGGAGGTTAGGGCATTTACCTCCAACCCATTGCAAGGTTCAAAACGCTTTTCCTTCTATTAGCTATTAGCGTAGATTAGTGCAGAATATTAAAAAAAATATATTTAACTTTCATTGTTATCATTATAGTACTAGTCAGTGGTAGATGTACTGAAATGCCTCTGTGAACAACTAAATTTGTTTTGCCTATTTCTATTAAAAATCCGTCACTGCTAATACATATTAGTAGTACCATTATATTAATATTATTTTAACTCTTACATATTGATAGTGATTTATATTATTTTAAAATAATTACCATATATTTTGTTATTATTATTATTTTTTTGGTCAAACGGTAGATTTTGTTACATTTAGATGTTATATTAGTCACTGATGAGGTTTGAACTCATGCTGACATGTAAGGACTCAACACATTACCATCTCTATTATGAATTTGATGAGTGTCATTGTTAATAATTTTTGTGTGTGAACTTCCCACTTAATTAATATTGTTTCAGCCTTAGAAAACTGATAATTGTGTTGAACTAGTGGTCAAAATATTATAGCATGGATTTGGTTTGTGTTGCATAATTAAATGTGCATTGTGGACATGTGGGTTTCACGTTACATGCCTCTTTTTTTTTGGGTATTTGAATCCAATTTAATTATCTCCAACTAGTCAAATTAGATCTTCCTTTATTATTATTATTTTTTTTTTAAGAGAGAAGTTCCTCTATTATCAGAACGAATTAACATATATTTTATAGTGACTTTACACTCACACTATTCATTTTAAATTTAAATAAGAATTTTTTTAATGAAATAAGAAAATTATTATTAATAGTCATTTTGCACTCAACCTTTCCTTTTTTTTTTTTTTGAGATATATATAGCCGCTATTTGCACTCTTAAAATGTCAACAGCCCTCTTTGAATTTAAAACTAAACAAAGAGAGAAAGGCAAAATGAGAATTTTAAAGTGCTTATAATAATTAGTGTTACTTGCTAGTCTTGTTTTTAAGCAAATAATCTTCATTGCTCCTTTTTTTTTAACTTGTGCACACACTTGTCTTGGTGGTTGTTTGAACTTTGAAGTAACTAATTGAAAGACTGATTAAATGATTTCTCTCTCCATGAAAGAAAAGTGAGAAATTCTAGTAAGATTCTCTCAAACGTGAGACTCTTCACGACTCTCTATCACTTCAAGTAAATTACCGATAAACTGTGAGATAGCAATGCGAGGTAGCAAATAGTACGTGAAAAGTTTCATAGAGAGCTGTTTTAGCATTATGAAGAAAAGTTGAGGTCAACCAAAGGGATGTATCATATGGGGATTAGGGCTAGCTTTATAGGAATTAACACGTCCATCACAACTTTTCCATAAATAATGTAATGTCTGTTCAGACGGTACAGACGTGAAGATATGGAAAAGGAAGAAGAAAAACTGTGCGGTGGGGTCCACTTTGATCACATCCTCAACTTTGAAGCCAGCAGTTGGTGATCGACCACAATGCTTTCACCGCTTTATATTTGACTTGCTAAAACCAGATTAAAAGTAGGTGAAAAGTCTTTTGACGACCTTTCAAACAATAAAATAATTATTATTGGGTGCATGAAAGTGCATGCCATTGCCATGCATTTTGGACAAGACAGGCAAACAGAAACAGCTGCCCCTGTAAAACTGTAAAGCTCACTCTGGTAGCTGTGACAGTTTAATTACCTTCGTTTTAAACAAAGACGTTCAACTTGCACAGGTGCCAATTTCATATTAGTTTAAGAGTAATTATAGTAATGGTTTCTTAATTTTAATCAAATTGAAACAATAGTTCTTTAACTAAAAATTCATTACCATTGATTTCTCAACTCATCAAAATGTGTAGTTATGGTCATTTTGATCAACTTTGTTAGAATTTTGCTAACGGCAAATTTGAACCACATTTTATTGCTAGTTCATTGTGAGGTTAAGTCAACCTCCCTCTTTTAATGTAGATAATATTTTTTATTCAAAAAAAAAAAAATCACTTGAGGTTGCACGCACTAATTAATGATTAGACAGAACATAACAAGTGACCAGATGAATTTTCTTCTCTAATTCCCTTGTTTTAAATTTTGTATACAAACTATAGTTGCTTAAATGAAATTTCTTTTCTCATTTCCTAAAAGAAATTTGGATAATGATTTCTACTCTTGGAGTTTAGCATTTTTTTTTTTTTCACTTCCATTCATGGGTGAAGTCATGTAGGACCAGAATGGTACCAAATCTATCTTACCAGGGTTTTCACACATAAAAAATTAGACTTATTCTTCTGATTTCTTAAGATTTTTCATGGCATTAGTGTCCAGCCAAAATCTTTTCTTTTCTTTTTCCTTCACAAGTTTGATTTAACGCTGGTGGCTATTATGTAGTTAACATGTGTCGCTGAGTGTTTTGAGAGTGCTGGTTTTTTATTTTAATTTTGTTTTATCCTTTTATTTTATTCCTTGAAGTATTTTAATGCTATTACTTATGCTTTCTCTTTTTTCTTATTTTTTTTTATTCCCCTCCTTCTTCCTTTCTTTTCTGTTAAAAAGGACTTTTATTTTGAATATGAGTCGTAATACTAGACATGGGGGTTGAGTTGAGGAAGAGGATGACAAGCCTAACCCAAATGATGGTGGTCGGCAGCTTAGGAAACGAAAAATCCTTATCTTTCGTTGATCAAGAGAGCAATTTAGGGTGAGACTTTTGTGATCTTCTTGAGCTAAAATTCTGATTCCACCACTGCTTCCATTATATTAACTTATTAATATTATAGACTTTTATTTATTTATTTATTTATTGGTTAACAAAGGCGTTTCGAACAAAAAAAAGGGAACGATATAAAAATTAAAAAAAACTACGTCAAAACAGCTCAGAGGCATAGGAGCCCCAACAATAACATAGAAAATAAGTTTTCCACACGAGGAAGGATTGACCAATACTATATCCAAGGAAAAATTATATATTGAATGATAGAATACCGTCTCAAGAAAAATTGGTTTCACACAAATTATCTCAAATATTTGAATTTAAACCCAACGATCACACGAAAATCACGATGATAACCAATTTTGATAATTTACTTAGATTGTGTGTGCTCGTGAATCTTTATCGTTCATGAGAAACCAGTTTTTCTTCTTATAAAAAGGACAATGATATAACACCAAACTTATAAGGAGTTGTGCTACTATTCATATTACTAATTTATCTTATAGTGAACCTCAACTTTTTTTTCATGGTATCATAGTAGTTTGGCATACGTGTGAAATTCAAGGATCACACATGCTCCACATCACCCATTAAGAAACACTTTGTGTGTACTTATAAGAAGTTGAACTATTTTCCATCTAATCAATTGATTTTATGGTGAAATTTATATTTCCTGTATCGCTTTAGTCGGCTAACTGTTTAAAAGTAATTGGAAGAATGAGTTTATTGTTCCTCGATCGATTCATTTGTGTTTTTATTTGACAAGGATAGGATTATATTAAGAATCAAGTTGACTGATTAAAACGTTAGATGGCGTGATGATGTGATCTCGTTTCACATGAATGAATTTTATCTTTATTAAATTAAAAATTTATAAATAGGAATTTAAGAAATATGGAGTATCGACTCTTTACTTCAACCTTATGAGACCTTCCGTCAAAATTAAGTATGTGAAAACGCATTTGAAGCATGTGAAAAATAACCAAAAGATTTTTAAAATCGGTGGCGGCAGTTGCGTCGCGGACGCTTAGTTTCATGAAGCAGCAGTCGGAGGCATATTTTATGAACCGTAGAGCCCAAGAAACCTCTACAAGCGATATTTCTGCCATAACTCTAGCAGTAGCAGAGATTTGTATGTGTAAATTAAAATTTTGATGTTCATCATAATTGAACTGAAACTTTGGTGTAGATGTCCATCAGTTCGAAACCAGTTAATTCTGAAGAAAAAAAGACCCGATTTGATTCATTTCAAAGAAAAATCTCATTGGGATTTGATTCATTGGTTCTACACAACCAAAACAATCTAGGAAAGTTGGTTCAAATGATTAGAAATCAGGGGGGCGTATTCAATTAGGATTTTGATGGATTTTAATTCTTTTAATTATTTAAAATTCAATGTGTATTCAATCAGGATTTTAAAAAATTATTATTTTAGCAATTGGGATTTTGGAATCTCAATAGTGATTCTCTCAAATTCCCAATCGCTGAACTGCTCAACGATATACTTAAAAACTGATCATTTAGCAATTAGGATTTTGAAAAATAATTATTTTGATTAATTTCTCAAAAAATATTTCCAAGGTCCTCAACTGAGTCAAAGTAGTACTAACAAATATTTACAATTAAGATAAACAAATTAATTACCATAAACAGTTTTTTATCCGCAAATTTCATTTCTAGCTACAAACCAGTTGGATTTCCTCTGTACAATCAATTGGCTTCATTTCAAAGCATTGAAAGCAAAAATAGTTTTTTTTTATTTCTATTCTAAACTACTACACATAGAGAGATTCAACTCGAGTGCAAGGAGACGTACACACTGCTTTTCCTTGAATTGATAAGAAATAAAAAAGAGTAACCACTTTTTTCAAATTTCTAGATTTATTTTGTATACGTTTAATTTGCAGTATTGTTCTTGTGATTTGCTCTTCTGTCCATTTTGTCATTTCTCAGAAAATGGCAGACTTTTGCAAAACCAGAAGAAATGGTGCTGCATATCTTGTCATAGCTTCCTCCGAAATCTCTATTGCGATTCAGATGCGCTCGTAAAATCGTGGCAACAACCCTAGCTTTGTGGATGTACACCCTTCCGAATCCAGAGACAACAGATTTTCATCCACCTACAACAATTTACATCGTTTCCAAGTGTTGCATCCTCAATGAAACCAACGATGACTCGAAGAAGTTTAATTGTCGCTTGTAGATCTTTGCAATGACAACGATAGTGATGTCTATTACCTTCAAGATCTCGACCTCAATGTTCCATTGTCTTGAGGTCTAAGGCATAAGTATTTGGACTTTGCAGGCCATTGTCAGGGAATTATATGCCTAAAGGGTTACTCCGAAAAAAGGTTTTTCTATGCAATGCGGCGCTAAAGGAATCCAAGCTTCTTCCCAAGTCGTGCCTTCATCTCCCTCCCCCGAAAGAAATGAACATTTTGCAGTCCACAGGAGTAGCTGTGGGATGTGGCTGCGATCGAAAAGCTGGAGACTACAAAGTTGTTAGAATCGTAATGCATTTCGAGCGTTTTTGGATTTTGTTTCACCTTCGCACGGCAGATGTGTATAATATGAGTTCAAACAAACCGTAGATGAACACAAGAAAGTCATCCTTTCGTTCAACATCGATGACGAATCATTTTCCGACGTATCCGTGCCGGATAGTTTACAAGGTACAAACGAATGTTATGTGAGCCATACAGTGTGAAATGAATCCGTCGCTCTTTTTTCCTTTTCACATAGAAAGTGGGATTTGTAAATCCATTGGTATGCGGAAAATGGATTTCAACTTTGGGGGCGTTAAGGGTTCTTGGACAAAACATTTGACCATCATACCAATTGCCGGATTTGGAATGCCATTCACATTTTGGAATACCGACGAGCTTCTTATGGTTGCCACAAGTTCGACGAGCTTCTAGCAAATAACAAAGTAATTACTTCTCCCATACCGTCTAGTAGCCATATCAATTCTCATGTAGTAAACGAAACCACTTAATATCGACAAACAAATCGACTGTTAACATGTTTATAGATACTATTGAACTTCAACTACGTGACTGGTGGCATTGTGTCCAAATACTTGTCCATGAAATTGAAAATCGATACAAGAACAACAACAAAGCTTTTTCCCACTAAGTGGGGTCGGCTATATGAATCCTAGAACGCCATTGCATTCGGTTTTGTGTCATGTCCTCCGTTAGATCCAAGTACTCTTAAGTCTTTTCTAAGAGTTGCGACATGAAACGTCTTGGTATTATATCCACATAATTTTAGAACCGAACGTAAAAACTACAAAGATTTTACATAGGCACACAGATCTTCCCATGTATATTGGAGCAGAAAACAAGACAATGTGAATGATTAACTCAAAATATTCAGCTGTATAGAAATTCATTGCTCGTTGGTCTCTCATCCTTTACCGGTTTGCCCTGTATTCCGAGTTTCGAACATACATCTTTGACTTTCACCACAAATTGACAGCTTGTACAGCTCTTTCTCTCTCTGTTTCCAGATCCAGCCATGTCAAACCCATTCTTTCCGCACTTCCACATATCTCCACCTGCGTAAAATTGCGCGTTAGTAGTTGCTTTCCCCAGGCAAAGAAAGCTTCACATTCAACCCCCCTAAAATGTTGAATCATGTCTGCACATGCATCATTATCATTATAACTTGGTCAAATTCATATCGACATGGTTGGTCGACTTTTTTATTTCGATTATAGAAACTAAACAAATATTAGCAAATACCAGGGCGGCCCGAAGAATCGAGTGAGCAAAACTAAGAGGTAAAGGAAATCCAATTAAGTAAGGGTGAAGGACTCAAGAGGTGCTATGACTGACCAACGACTGTCACTTATATAATATACAAAGAATAAATGGAAAGGAGAGATGCATAGAGACACTAACCGGAAAATTAATCTGAATCAGATGACATTTGAGAATGCGGATCCAGTGTCGCAATCATTTTAGACAGCATCTCACCCATGTCTTCTAATTCATCCTTTGCAAAGCCCCAACTTCTAACTAACTCTGCCCCAGGTGCTCCTCTGGCAATCCCACAGCTACGAAGGCCACCCAATCTATTCTCCAAAAATGGCAAGATGGCACTGCTAGACCGTAGTCTAGCTGCCATAGGGATGGAATGAACATCAAGTGATCCCCTCGATGGGGAACCAACAATTGGCGTGCTCAAAAGTTCACCATGTTGGCCAACAAGGTTGCCAAAGATTGAAGGAAAAGGCAAAGGTATTGGAAGAGGACATTGAGCCACTGACAGATGGCAGAACATCGGCCTTGTTATTGCATGCTCATAGGCAGCGTGAACTGTATCCTTAACTTCAGAAATTGATGCCCGATGACCTCCTGTTGAACACAAACAATGAGTTAAAATATAATAAGCATCCAGTCCACACCAGTCCAATGGTACATTTCATACCTTTTTTCTCCCTCCCAAACTCACACCATCAGTTGTCAAACTAATTTGTTCGGGTACCATATCAAAAGAGTGGAAATTTAAGTTTCAACAATGAGAGGCTTTGCAATTCCACAAGCACTAAACTCATATTTCCTCTGAAATAACAAGTTACGTATACATTATACTGCAATGAAATGCACAAATGATTCATAATGTAATCAAAATGACAGTGAACTAATGACAAGAATAAGATGGAAAAGGACTACAGTTATCACCAGAGTGGACATTTTTAGGGATGGTTTTGCCAGGGAATACATATTCAGGAACTAAAACAGTTCTTTGTAATGTACCACATAGGGCACACATATCTTGTAACCTATGATAGATGGTTTTAAGCCTCTCCCGAGTTCCAGTTAACAGATACCACCAGATTTGATTACTAGTGAATAAAATGTCGCCCAAACAAAAAAAGCAAATAGCCTTAAGATTTTAGCTCTATTTAATGCCAACACCCAAAGTTACACTGCTCTAGTCACTAAGGCAACTAGAGCGTTCACTAAATTTCATATTCAGAAAATATGATCATTGAACGATAAGCCAGAAGCGCAAAATATGAACGATCCTTAATGTTCTCCAGGAAACTAAAGAAGACATAATAAGGAAAAACTGATGCTTTACTGGTCTAAAATGTACCTGATCCTAGGGCCCCATGGACTGTCATGGATTCTAGTAACTGTAAGTCCTCGACATCTTCTGCTGTCTCTGGTGTCAATGGCTGCAAATTCCTTAATAAAGTCTCACCAAGTGAATTCTCTGTTTAAAATGCCAAATAATTAACCAAAATCACTGCTATTAATTGAGGGACCGATATGAAAATCAATTAAAATAAATACCAGCTAAAGAAGGGGATGGCATTGCAGCATCCAGAATGGCAACCATATTTTGCCTAGCTTGCCCTGATAAGATTTGCACAACCTCACTAACAGTCGCAGCACCAGAAGCATAAGATGAGTCTCCAGTGGGCCCAAGTGGTTCCATTCGAAAAGGGAGACTAACAGAATGTAGGGTGGCAGCGTAAGCTGCACTGCAGTGATAAGGCATTTCATCATTGATGCTGAGAAAGTTTGAAGCTTTGCCTTTCAAATCAAGTGAAAAGATGATTAGTCCACAAGAAAACTTATCCGGAACAGAGAAAGTAAGGGAGCATCTACACTCACCATAGAAACCAAATAGCAAACCATTGGTTCAAAATAAAGCTTTTAAACCTAGCTTCCATATCAGTTATGCCAATACTCTTTTGGGGGGCTATTTAACTACCTAAGAAGAATATTAATGATTTCATCATGATAAATAGGATGACACCGGGCATCTGAGGGGAAAAAAGGCCCTACAATCACAATGTTGGAGCAACATGTAAAATGAATCTGAAGAATCTTGAAAATCAATTGTATGAATAATACATTCGACAAGTGGAAAATTTCTTACTTGTACTCAATGAGGGTAGCCCGACTGGAACAATCAGTTTGCATAAGGATGACAGCATTGAAAACGAAACTGCATCGTGAAGCTTCCTACTGACTCTCTGCTTCTGGCTTCTGGGGTCCATGGAAGAACCTGAACCACGCACAGCATAAAGCATCACTGGAGCATTTGTGTATTCATCTGCAATACTCTCCAGAATATCCACAGCTAGAGGAGAGAAACCTCCTGAGTCATCAACGATGAATTGAAAACCCTGTCAAAATACAAAGACTCAAGGTTATACATTAAATCAATATTCATGTTGAACCCCAACATTGAGAGGCTTATACCAAAAAGGAGCACCAGAAGCTCATTTGAAACTGAAAATATGGATATTACTTCTACTCTTGATGTTTAAAAGGCTAAGAAAGATTTATTCAAAGTCAATATTAGCCACTGCAGCAATCAATCTCAAAAACAAAAACAAAAAAAGACAATTGTCCATGTAAACATAGCTCATGTAGTTTGGACAATGAACAGGTCATTGTCATAGATGATGTTTCAATCAAATTAACATTTGTCCATATAACTAGAAAGACATTACTAATACACCATATTGGACAGTCTTGGCTTTCTCAAGGCTAAAATAAAGTACATGATTAATAGAAAATAGTACTTCTAAAGTATATTTGACAATGAAAATTGGATGTATTGCAGATGAATACTTAATGAAGACCAATAAAACAAAAGGAAAGTAATATCAGAAATATGTGATGATCTATAATACCATAAGTTGAATAAAAATTTCAGAAGCACAACAAATTCACTCTTGAACACTGCCAGCCCTTCCGACTTAAGCATCTACATATATGAAATAGACATGCATAACAGAAAACAGGGTTGGGGTAGTAGCTAATATACCAAAGTAGGCATCTCATGCGCCTTACCTAAGAAAACAAAACTCACTCGACTAGCACTAACCGACAGCTTTAGATCGAAACTCATCCCCTCCCCAAAACAAACTAAGCCAAGAAAAAAATTGTAAATGGATCAAAGTATAGGAGAATGGTTTGTACAACAAAAATATACCTGAATATGGTCGCACTCTTCTACAAAAAAGCGAAGCCTCTCACTAACTTCTTCTCCCTGTAAACCCGCAGATAAGGATTCTTTTCCAATCCCGTAATTGTCAAATTTCTGAGGATCCACCCACAAACCACTCAATTCATATAAACTTTGGGGATGATAGTGAACTTTTGAAAAATCAGTCCAGTACTGGACCCCATTTTCTAAACTCTCCACTATTTCGCTGTCATGAATTTCCCTTCGAGAACTCTCCTCCTCACCATTGACACCATTTTGAAGAGTCAAAAAATCCCCCTGCTCTTCCTCGTATAAACTTTGTAAGAACAAATTCTTCTTATGAGGCTCAGCGGCTTGAGTAGAAACATTACCACCCCTGCACATTGGTCCAGGGGATATCTAAATTCATCTATGCACAAGTTTTTAAAAACCAAATCCAAAAGGGTCTAACCATGTGAAAATATTTGATGATGCAGATGAACCCTCATTATACAACGTGCCGCGTGAACTCAAAGACCCGAGGGACCCTGCAACAGGCAAAAAAAATGAAAATTTACACTTGCATACATTCTAGGCCAACAAATACACAAACCCAACTGAAATTTTTGACGTACCTTGAAGATCAACCGAAACGAGGCGGGGTGTGTAAGTCACAGTGCCCTGTTCATGTCAAAATTCACGAGTCTCTTAAGTAAGAAGGTGAACCAGAAGCAAAACAATTGAAAAAGTATAATATCTGCAAACCTGGCGCGTCTGACCAGAGCGGTAGAGCACGTCCATGTTCAAGGACTGATTCTTGAACACCGGGTCGGCGTAAGCGTCCTCCGCCAACCCGAGTAGTTCATCCTTCAAACATATAAATATGTTAGAAATTTGCAGAAAGAAACAGTTAATGGGTTTTTGGGCAAAGCTGTAGAAGTACCTGGAAGTTCCAGAAATGGGAGCCCACATAGTTTGCAAAGCTTCCAACTTGAAGAGTGACGAGTTCTCTCATGGTTTTGGAACCAAAGCTGCGAGGGGATCGGAGGGAGGGAGGGAGGAAGGGAATGAATTTGGAGGCAACCCTCTTTTTGTAGTAGGCTGACTTGGACTATTTAAGTACTGAATTAACTGGACTTAATCCCTGTATGTTAAGAATAACGAGTAAAAAAGCCCCAAAGACATTTCCCTTTTTTCATTTAGGCATTTCAACAAACAGTTTGTGGGCATGGTAAACAACTCTTTTCGTAGCAATAGACGAAGGGGTTTTTAATTGTACCGGTACAAATTACTACAGGAGATGTCCATGGAAGAAAGAAGAAAACAAATCAAGTAAAAAGTTGAAATTTAGAAAAAGAAAGATGAAAAAATAACAGATACCCACCAACAAAGTAGGAAAATAAACAGTGGAATTGGAACGTTGTTACTATTGCAATTCTGGCTACTAATACAAGACCATTTGGTGAGTCTTACAAATGCTATTGTATTAGTAATTCGAGACACTATAACGACGGTAAATCTGTTTTATAAAAAATTTTCTCAAACAAGCAAATAAGAAATCCTTACTAAGGAGGTGGTCGTCTCTAATTGTCTCCGGTCATGGGCGGACCCATTTAATGCCAAGGGTGAGCATCTACCCACTTTTTCTTTTCTTTTCTTTTTTTCTGATTAAGTAAGATATCTTTCATTACATTAATAACTAGTATAAGGTCCAAAAAGAACTAAGTAAACAACTACAGATAAAGTAACAGACCCAAGCAAAATGAGAACGGTAACCCAAGATACAACGAAAGGACCACACAAGGTTAGGCCCGAAGGTTGCATGAAACAAACAATAAAAACCCTAATCTCTAGCCGCAAAGACCACATTGTTACATCCTCAGAGGAAGCCAAACTTCGAACCGAGAAAGTAGGCACCAAATCCAAGTCCCATTCACGAACCACTGCAAATATATATAAATAAAGTAACATATGGGTAGAGTGAGGCTAATGGGTATGTAAAGTACCCAACACTTGGTCTCGATGAGGATTTGGCATGCCTATTAGGGGAAGGGAAGTGAGGGATGGAAGTGGGTTTGATATCCAATTTCTGATCGGAGCCTGCCGATCCAAGCACATGGTAGGATGGGGATGAAGTATCACAGTTAGGGAGGAGGGAGGAAGGAAAATTAAAAGACATAAAGTAGTAAAAGCAAGTGAAAAATGCCGGATAAAGGGCATGAAGCCCAAATCTAAGACTAGCTCAGGGATAGTTGAGATCCGACTTAGGAAAAACTACGATAAAACTCAGGGAAAACTGAGAATGAAAACGAAGGAAGGAGACTAGAAAGAGGGAAGGAAGAGGAGGTGGATGCAAGGATGGGGAAGGGAAAGAGGATATGAAAGGGGAGGAAAAGAAGGAAAGGGCAAAGAAGAGAGGAGGGAAGGAAGAGGAGAAGGAGGAGGAGCGGGCTGCTGTCTACCCCGAGCAAAGTAAGGGACGGTGGCTGAAATTAAAAACTTGGGGGGGGGGGGGGGTGGTGCGCTTTTGGATCTGGGATATGGAGTTCAGTGAGAGAGAGAAACTGCGTAGGTTGATTAGGCTATTGCATTAGCAACTACCCACTCATACCTCGAAAAATCTCCCCATCAGACATGAGTTTGCCCATCTCGACAATTGGGCAAGAAAGGGTGACACGGGAATTCCAAACCCATTTCATACCAAATCGACATACTTCACTCAAAATTTTCCATCCGAACTTTTTTCCTCAATTCCTTCCGTGCCATCATCGCTAAGACCTGCCCACCAACAAAGAAGCATAAGCAACAACACTATACCAAGCTTTTATACCTCGCACACTCAAAAACATAAAAAACAAAAAAAATCTATATCTGCCACTATCTCCCGTTAACCCTTGTTTTCCTGACAAACATTAATACTACTGAGAGACTATTCTTAGCATGGCAGCGTAGTGCCATAGACTCCACAAAGGAAATATGGGGAAAAAAAATATAAACTGTTATTATCATGAGTACTAGAACGTATCGTGCATGGGGTATCCTCATTCCTAAAAATGGTATAACCATAGTTCTTCAAAACAATGGCATAACCATATGTCCATCTCAATAATACGGTCTCAAACTCGCACAAATAAAAAGTATCTTGAGGTTTCGCCTCTTTGGAGCAAAAAGTTTTACAAAATCGAAGAAAAATTCAGAGTTGACTTTCTTTGGAAAGTTACATCAACATTGAACCATCTAAATAGCATGACGTTGGCGTAATAATGCATAGTTTGACAATGTATGTATTTGTTCAATTCTCGATAGAAGATCAATATCGCCTAAACATGCCCATAAAGTTTCTTTGCTGGTTTGAAAACGGATCCGTAGTTTATGCTGCAAAGATTGGTTGATACTTTACTAGTGGATTATCTGTTGGCATAAAACACAGTCCAAACACTTAATCAAACCAAAATCTTAGGTCATTGACTCATTTCTTAATCCAACAATTTTAATTCCAGTTGACTGCAACACGTTTTCATCACCACCACTGATTGTGCTCCTTTACAATCTAAAGAATCCATAAAATCTAAAGAATGCATAAACCCGACAAATAAAAACTAAAAAATATATCAAATAATTGACATTCAGCTAATATAAATATGAAAATGTTTGGTACTTAAATCATCTTTTGAAATATTTAATTTTCTAACCCATAAGATTCTTGGGGGATCACTCAACCTACCAAACTCTTTTGAGAGATTCATTAGAAAAAATATATATTTGCATTATCTTGAAGGTGACTGCATTATCTTTGCATGAGCCTGGCCCGTAAGATGAGATTATTCAAATGTTAATGTAAATGGATAATATTAAGAAATAATGTGACCCATTAATTAGTCTGAAAGTCAATTAAGAAATCGATTATATAATTAATTAGGTCTCCAGATCTTTATTTGACAGTGACCCCTGATGAAATTTCAATACTGGCAAATACCTAGTTTTTGTTGAGATGCTGCAGAAGATAAGCCATTATTTAATCTGAGGCAAACCACTAAGATTAAAAAGAATCCGTATAGTGGCATGGAATTGGATTTGCAACAGAAAAGATACTAGGATCAGTTGCCCCCTAACAGTGAATACAATATGGTATCCACATGCATTAATGATCATGACTAGCTTGTGGGCGCGTGCGACTAACCTTAACACTACTATTATGACGGAAAATAAAAGTTTGTATGAGAAGTGATTAGCACAGAGAGAGAGAGAGAGAGAGAGAGAGAGAGAGAGAGAGAGAGAGAGAGAGAAGCTGGCATGCTACTAAGAATTCCAGGACAATGCAGGTGCAGAGGTTAATTAGCAAATGGATAAGAGTCCAATCTTCCAAGGACCATGTTGCTGAAAAATAGAAAATTCGAGATATAGAGGACCCAGTTGGACAAAAGTTGGACAAAAGCTTGATGACGCCAAACATTCGAGAAGCAAGGCAGGCCCTATCTAGCTATACAGGTTTTCATGTCGAATCCTAACGATGAACGTCACCGAGGATTAGGATAAGAGAAGCGTTTGATCTCTTCCAAGTCCGGAACTGTCATATCCGCGACCCCAATGTACTTCCGAAGGCAAACAATATGTAGCAGATTCATAGTCCATAGAGATCTCAGTTTGAACCTTCAGTTCATACATTGAGCATATAGCTAATACAACAGAGAAGCTAAGCGACAGAAACAAATTAAACTGAATAATATTATGTTGGGAAACATTAACATGGCACTTCCTACAATTAAATAAAAGGGGTCATTACATAATACTAAACCTGTATAAAAGAACCAGAGAGGAAGAAACTTGCTCTACAATGGCAAATTCTTCTCTCTCTCTCTCTCTCTCTCTCTCTCTCTCTCTCTAAAAGTACCTCTAAAAAGAAAAAACTTGAGCTCCACATCCTCCTCTTTTTGTTGAAGGTAGCTTATTACTACTATATGCTTATAATTCAGAGACTGAGATTTTTCCCCATGTATATTTGTATCTGCAAAACTCATGTGGGATGATGATTGGATGAGACTCCCTGTACATCTCCAGCTCCTTGGTTGTTGTTGTTGTGATTCCACTTTTCAAACTCTTATCCATCCGATTTCTCGTCCTCTTCGGCTTCCCTGCTGTTGCCTGACTCGCCTCCAGTTGTGGATCGACCTTTGGCGTACCCGCCTGCAAGGAGAGGACCCTGTGGAGAGCCAGACTGTACGTTGTTTGCCTTAGAATGGTTTCCACTGTGATCCAAGGACATGAGTAAGGCATTCCCTTGGCCGGCAGCAGCAGAAGGCGGTAGCTTTCGGATGTGAAGGCGGTATTTCTGCACAGACAAACATATGAGCAAACAATTCAGATAGGAAAATTAAATTGTGATTTGCAGATGAAAGAAACATAACTATTAATTAAGTAATTAACCAACCTGCAAATGGCTCTTAACTTCATCATTGGTGAGACCCTCCACCTGCATAAGCTCTCTTATCTGCTTAGGAGTGGCTACTACCAAAAACAGAACACAAATTAGAAACAAGCACGTATAATTAAAACATAGAGGAGAATTCGATTCGAATTGTTCGAAAAAAACCTACTAAATTCAAGTAGTTTGGTTTAAAAGCATAAAGATCAAGCATTTCCTCCAAAAACCAACAATAAATTTTGCAATTTATCAATTTTTCCAGTTCCAATTTCAAGTCAAGAAATTAATATCAACACAATTACAATATTTTGTAGTCACAAAGCTCCAACCTTCTGTTCCTCCAAGCTGCTGAAGGGCATCAACAAAGCGGCGGTGGAGCTCCGGGGACCAGCACCGCCTTGGTTTCCTCAAGGATTGCTGATGCTGCTGCGGCTGGGGCTGAGGTTTGTTCAGTAATTTCACTTGTCCTGCCACACCAGAACCCGAACCGCCGCCTTTGCAGCCATTGCTGGTCTTAGAGTTTGCGTTTGCAGAACCAGCCAGTGCTTCAGACATCAATGGAGTCATAAGACAAAGGTTTGGAACCTCGGAAACCTCCTTGTCTTCCTTCAAACATGGTTTTGCAAAACCAGACAGCTCATTCTGTCCCCTGAATGCCAGTAATGCCCCCTCCACGGCTCTGTTATTACTCACCTCAATTGGGCTCTCAGGCACCGACCGATCATCTGCCTCATTCCCCTGTCGAAAAAAATCCAAGAAAATATGAAATTTCAGCAAAGCCCCAATAAAGTTTCAGTCTGTACAAAAAAAAAAAGTAAGCGAAATTTAGAAATTAACCAGTTTAAGTTCAACAGAGTCGTGTTTGGTGTAATCGAAAACGTTGATGCTCGTGTTCCACAGCTGAGCAGAGCTCATCCAGTTCTTCTTGTCAATATTCTCCTTTCCCGAAACTACCCCTCCGTCCTCCTCAGAATTGCCCTTCAACGGCATGAACTCCTCCACCACCGGCCGCTCGTCCATTCGCCTCCACCGCATTCCTTCCTCCTTCAACCGCTCAATCGCTGCATGCCCATCGAACCAAATCAAAACCCCATCTCAAAAATATTACAAAAACCAAATCCTAGAGAGAGAAA